GCCTAGAAGTTGGGATTGTCACAGACTGCACAGTATCAGTAATCCTGTTCTCTGGAGCCATGAATTTGACGGTGAAGTCGGTGGAGAAGTTGAGCAGAGGTCAATGGATGAAGGCAGGCTTGAGACAGCCCCCTGTAAGAGCGTTCATGGACGATATGACAATAAGCACAAAGACCATCATAGAGGCAAAATGGACCTTGAAGGAGATAGATCATAGAGGATATCATCAGCTGGGCCCGTATTAAGATCAAGCCAACAGACTCTGAGTCTAGGAGCCTCGTATTGAAAAAGGGAAAGTCACAGGAGAGAAGTTCAGGGTTGGAGATGAGATGATCCTATTAGTCTCAGAAAAACCGGTCAAGTGCCTGGAAAAGGTATTTGATGATTAACTGAGTGATAAACAAAATTTTAGCGACAGCAGTAATCAACTTGAGAAGTGGATGAACACCATAGACAAAAGTGTCTTAACAGGAAAAATACATTGATATACCAGCACGGCATACCTCCACGAATTCTTTGGTCTCTTCTTGTGTATGATGTACCAGTGACATCAGTTGAATCAATGGAGAGACGGATCAGTGAGTATCTTAGATGATGGCTCGCGGTTTCCAGAAGCTTTAGCAGCAATGGTTTATACTTTATACAGCACAGGAACAAAGCTGCAAATACCACTGACGTCAATCGTTGAGGAATCCAGGGACACCATGGAAAGGCAGTTTCTGATGTTACGCGACAGTAATGATTCCAAGGTACAGGAGGCAAGAGTGAACATCAAGACTGTCAGAAAGTGGTCTGCAAAGAATACAGTGCAAGAGGCAGAGTCACGCCTGAGATAATCCGACACTGTTGGAAGTGTGGCAGTAGGCAGTTAGGGAGTAGGAATAATACCAACGACAAAATGGGGTACATCATCGGAAGTAGAGAAAAGGCAACACGTGCAGAAAAAAGTGCGCAAAATGGAAGTGCACACAAGAATGGTGAAGGCAGCTGGTATGAAGAAGCAGGGAATCTGGAAAGTTGCCCGACAAAAGAAGTTATCTTGGATCGAACGAGATTTGGGTAACAGAGCTCCAGAGACTGCAGTTTCAGCTTAAGTCAGTTTATGACGTATTGCCAACCCAAACCAATCTGACAACATGGGGCAACATAGACCAGCCAACCTGGAACATATCCTGTCTTCGTGTTCAGCAGCTTTAACAGATGGAAGATACATATGGAGACACGACGAAGTTCTACATGTATCTGTTATTGCAGATGTGGTGGAGAAAGCAAGGAAGAAGCCTCGGAAGACCAATGAAGGCTTGAAGTTCGTAAACTTTGGAACAGCTGGTGAACAGAGACGTTCTAGGGGAGTGGAAGGAGGTGGACTGTTGGGGACCGCCAGTGACTGGGAAATGCAAGCAGATCTCAACAGCCGAATGCAGTTTCCACAGGAAATAGCATCTACCAATCAGAGACCAGATATTGTTATTTGGTCTACAGTTGCCCGACTTGTTATTATGCTGGAACTTACAGTGCCGTTGGAGGACAGAACTGAAGAACCGTATGAACGGAAACGAATAAGTACCAGGATCTCGTGGCAGATTGTCAACAACGGGTCTGGAGAGTGTGGCTTCTCCCAGTGGAAGTTGGATGTCGTGGTTTTATAGGGCAATCTACATGGAGTGCATTGCAGATTGTCAGTGTAACAGGCACTGAGAGACGACAACTCATTGGACGCCTGGGCAGAGAGGCAGCAGTAGCATCCATGTGGATATGGAAGAAGAGAGTTCTAAGAATAGTGGAAAGTCAACACGAAGACTCTGTGTGTTTGCTTGTGAACATTTCATGTGTTGCATTGAAAGCAGAGAGCTGAGTGGTTCCGGGCTGGGACTTGATTACCCCAGTCGACGTACCTCAATCTGAGAATGTAGTGGACAACGCGGGTATGTTAAGGCAGTACATGGACCAAAAATCGGCGAATTAACACTTTTTTATAATTATGTAACACTAATAAATCGGAAAACTCAAGGATAAAACTTTTGTCATAATTATGCATTCTACAGACTTCAATGGGACTTATACTACATCACGCACTTCACCACGACGTCACCACGTGACGTCTATAATTAGAAAATATGCCTTAATGAAAAAGTGGAAAGTTCAACACTACCCCGGGGATAATTAATTTCAATTTGTAATATTAGTTATGTAAAAACATCTCTGTACCATGAAAAGTGCTGCTAGAATCCTACTGTCCTATCACAGAGATAATTATTCAACACTTTTGGACGAAACCTTCCAAAACTTTTTACATTTTGTTCATAAGATAAAAAAAATTGCATAAACGGCCGTGAACCATACGATTCTAGCAGCACTTTCAAAAAACAATAGAATAAGAACTATAGATAGAAACAAAAATTAAGTTTCAAAGTGTGCGGCGTAGTGTTGAACTTTTGCATCTTATTTGTTACGAACGACAGAGGAAAGGCTGATCGGCAAGTAAACACTCTCCCTGCTTTAATTTAACGAAGAAATTGTAGAAGTATATTACCATACCTTATTCATAAGTTTTATTCCTAAGTGAATCACACAAGATATTCATTCTAAATGCTTTTAAACTCCGATTTCTTGTGTTTGTTTACATGAATTCTCGTTACGTTTCACTTTCACTCTGCTACTGCATGATCAACAGTTATGACGTCACGGGTTTGGTATTTAACCCCTGTGATAACTACAGAGACCCAGAAACGACAAAATTCCGTTTCTATTATGCCTCTGCATATTTTGATTAATTTTTACGACCTCAAATCAATCTAAGATATCGATTATAACGAATTGTTATCTCTAAACTTTACGTCATATAGCCTACTATGACGTCATATCATATACGCAAGTAGAATATTTGGTTGTAACCTTAACCTACCTGCGAACGTCGAAACAACCATTGAAGGAGGATCCACCTGAGGACGGACCCATGCCGCATCAAATACCATCAAGATGTATACAGCTACTGGGGATATATTTTAACCAAAAAAGAGAGATGTTAAAATAGTTTGCGGGGTAAGTTGGCACACTTAATTTTTCTGAGAATAATTTTATGCTGTAGTTTAATACGTAAGTTTTGATTTGGACAGATGTTCTCTATTCTCCCACGCTTTTTGTTGCCGGAACAAAAGATCAAAGTATACAAAAAATGCCTGCATTCTAAAGAAAATGTTCTGAAAGGTTGGACCCCCACCCCCACCTTGGAGTAAAATTTACAATTTAAAATTGCTTGTTTGTGTTTTTGTTTGCTTTTTGCTTCTGTTCTATTTTTACTTGTCAACTCTTTAAAGGGAGGTTGTCTCCTTTGAAATTAAAACCGTTAAACGTTACTGCGTACGTGCCTGTTGTGTGATTCTGTGCATGAAGTATTGAGGCACCGAATCTGGACCCCCCCCCCCCCTTAAAAATTGCTGGATTCGCCCCTGTTGGTTATTATAAGGGGACGTCCATTTGATTCTGCGGTAGGGAGCTGAGAGATTTTGGAAATAAATACTCTGCCCTAGAAAAGGTTTGAAATGAATAATTTAATCTCTCCACGACCAGCAAGAAAAAAATAATCTGCCCTTGACTAGCCTAGTGTTACCCACTCATCATCTCTTGTGGAAGATCCCCCCTATCCACCCTACACACAAAAGTAAAAGATATTTTTTGGCTTCTCTAAAAAAATTTTCAGTGAAGAAGAAAATAAATACTAGTAACCTGTCCTTGATCATCTTCAAAATATATAATTGATATTGCCCTTGACTAGTACTGGGCATCTTCGCAATGCAAGGGGTCTTGAATCAAGTTAATCCGTGGCAGCCCTGGCCAATTTCATTCAATAGTTCATAGGCTAGCTAACTCAAACTTACATGATTTATTATTAGTATTTATTGGCTTCATATCAAGAAGATGTAAAGCAATATGATAGTGTATATGATTTAAAATTGGTATATACATATGTACAGTTTCAAATTCATTGCACTTACACTCTCAAAACATAGGAAATATATAATTATACTGTTCTTAATGTTCATTGACACTCTAAGAGAGTCAAATGGAATAAATGTAGTTTCTACTTTTTTGTCCACTTTAACCCAGAAAGCTAAGCCTTTATTTTGCTTTTCTAGTAAAATATAGTTGTTTTGAAAATCTTAAGCGTAAAGACAACATATATATACATGTACCGGGTATATTATATGAGTGAGCAGAGGGTTGCAAACGCAAACGCTTGAAAACACAAAATAAATACCCATAATTACTACAAGTGTAGTGAGGTGTTCAGATACTATAGATTCCTAATTATATTGCATTATTACGCAAGAATCATCAATCACAAAATAAAATTACTCGCTCTTATTTGTATGGCGATGAAATCCACGTCAATTCTCTTGAACGACCGTCCATTCGCTAATAGCTATTTTCGCGATCTGACATTAAATAGCCAGATCGTGATAAGTACTCGCGAAAAAATCTAGTAATTCTAAAATGTTCTTAATCTGCAAGCAGCATTTTATTTTGTCCACGATAAGCAACCTCGCGAAAAGTTCAAACAACTACCTGTTCAGAAAGACTTTGTTTCAGAAGATGAATATTGCAACAGCCTCGAACAGATTAACGTTCAAGCTATTGGTGTAAATTTTCGGTATCTTATATGCATACTGACGAATCACATCTACATTTGTGTATGCATTTGTCCGCTGATGAAGCTTTGACTTTCTGTGGGGATCACGGTTTAGGTTAACGTGATATTTTTAAATAGAGCAATATGCTCATGTTTGCATTAAAGCACGGTCGCATCGCAACCTAAAGCTGGCACCACGTAAAGCAACCAGCATATTTAATCAAATGATAATTCCCACTAATATTCATTTGCCTTCATGTTGATTAATACTAAATTAAGTTATAAACAACCCAAACAGAAGTAGGCTTTACCTTGAGTAAATGCTAAATTTAAGAATAATATACACGTAAATCGATCGTGCCTTTGACTTTTATTCAGTTTCGTTCAACAAAATTCCAGAAAATGTAGTCCAAGCACCGTCGAGAGTGATGCCCGTGTCATGATATTTGTCATGAATTTTTACCCAAACTGCGTCTCCAACTTCCAGTTCAATGATGGCCATGTTGAATCCAGGGCCAAAAAAGTTTGTGTTGCCAGCGTACAAATTGCAGAAAGCATTTCCATTCTTCACGATTTGCGCCTCCAAACTTTTTCCTGGAAGTGTGAGTACAGAGGAGAAGAAGGCGTAGATACCTTTGATTGGCGCGGTAAACATTCCATTGTTCTTGTTGTAGGCATTACCAGAATTCGTGATCAGTCTGTCAAAGACGAATATTTCGTTGTCGTAGGGATTGGCTATATTGTGCGCCAAAGAAGCAGAGAAAGCTATTGAAGTGGCCAGAATACCAGAACTTACAGGAATCCGTCCTTAAAGTAAAAACCTTTTAAATCAGTCAAGGTCATCGATCACAAGAGATGGTGCATAAAGATCAAATTAAACAAGAACAAACAACATGAAACACGGATGCCCCCAAAATAATGATACCCACAGTATGATTTTGTTACAAGAAGAACACATGTGAAATTAAAAAAGAAAACACCAGATGTTCAAAATTAAATGAAATGGTTTGTAAGGTAATGGTGCTTTGCCCTATAGCACCTTCCGTTTAAAAGTTATTGACAATTAAGGTTCCGGACTGGTTTCTGCAAAAGCAGGATATACTGCAAGATCAAGAGGCCAGATATTCTAAGAAAGGTCTTTCGACAGCTATCTATAGCTCCATTCAATCAAAAGTTATGGGCAAGGTTAAATGTTTTAGCAAAAGGATAAAGATATATAACGGACAGGTAGGCCAAAAACTATATACTAGTATAAACCCAATCTTCATAAAAGGGGGCATAAAATGGCAAAATTGCATCTCTTTCCAAATAAATTTAATATTTAGATATTTACTAGACTTAGCCCTCAGTGCATCTTTTATTTCATGCTCTTCACCAACGTCTTTTTCAGCCAGTTTGTCTTGGTATGGGTTCTTGGTGCCTACATTGTCCTTGCGAAGCTGCTTTAACGACTTCTTTAACTGTTCGTTTTCGTTTGACAGTTTCTTTATTTTGGACACCATATCATATTGCTCTGTTTCCAAATGAATTTGGGAACTTCGAAGAGAAGTTACTTCTTCCCGAAGCAAACGAACTTCTTCCACATGGTCTTTACACTTTTCATCTATGAACTCTTGCATTGTTTTTCTTATTTCCTCAATTGTTAATTCGCCGTTCACTGACAAGCAAAATCCAACTAAAATAGACAACATTCCCGGCTTCATTCTTCTATGTTCAATCCAGGCACTGTTGGACAGAACTACTTTCAATCCTTATCTCCTAATGATAAAAAAAACAAGCATAAATTGTCTACGTATCCTCGCGGTTAAGACTAGAATCTACTGTACAGATAAGTAAATATTCAATCAAGTACGTGTATCTTGAAATTTGTTTTGTTTCTCTGTCAGTCTGTCTGTTTGTCCGGAAAAAAACTTTAACCTTGCCCTTAACTTTTGATTTAGTGTATACTGGGCAAAATAAGTTAGGGATCATATTTTTACACAAGAATAATATTTTCATACCCATGAATTAGTGTGATAAAAACATGTCATTAACACGATTCGATACTTAAGTCACACGTTGTAATAAGTTTTGGGACATATTGGTCAAGAAAGTACGTAGCGTTAAAAAAGTTAGTGAATCAATGGAAGCATAGAAGTATCAAAGAGGATTTTCTTTAGTGAACATAAGAAAATTTCAGTATATTTGGCCAGAACTGGCGATAAGACGCTATGAAGAGGCATGTGAGTGTGGACAAACACTCCATGTCAAAAAGGCTAAAAACGGGACGTCCAAAGTGTACGGCAGTCCGTGAGGATCGTTATTTTGGCCAATTTTGCTGAGACGCACCGCTTCCAGAGTGCTTAATACTGGGCATCAGAGAGCAACGAACAGACAGATTTCTACTCAAACCGTTTGAAACAGACTTCAGGAAGCAAATCTCAAGGATTGCCGACCAGTCGTACGTCCTGTATTAAAATTAGAGTGCCACAGAAATCGCCTACAGTGAGCAACAGATCACAAAAATTGGCAATAACATCATTGGTGTTCTGTTCACTTCTCAGACGAGTCCCGATTTCGTTTTGACTTCCATGATGACAGAAGACTTGTTTGAATTGTAAATAGGGAAAGATATGCTGAGTGTGTCGTTTCTGAGCAATACAGAGTAAATAGAGGTTTTGTGATGATTTGGGCAGGCATAAGTATTGACTGCAAAACTGATCTGCACATTATTGAAGGCAACCTGACAGGTTGAAAATACTGAAATGATATTCTTCATCCTAATGTTAGACATATTGCATGGGAGGATTTCATCTTAATGGACGATAATCCTCGACCTCATAGAGTCCGAATCGTAAACGAGTACATGGAAAGTGAACCAACTTAGCGTATGAACCCGCCAAAACGTTTTCTAGACCTGAAGTCAATTGAACATGCCTGGAACATTCTTTAGCAACGCATTTCCGTTCGTCTTACACTTCCCCAAAATCGACGGGAGCTTCAGACAGCATTGCAGGAGGAATGGCAAGCCTTGGACGGCTGATGGGCAGCATGGGTCTGCGCTGCAGGGCCTCGCGGGGAGGTTTTACAAAATACCAAAATACTGGCAACCATTTTAGTGACGTAATTTGACTATTCTGAAAAAAATCTCATTTCCAGGTCTACTCCCAACATGCCGAATTCTAAAGTGACCGCAATGAAAAATTCGTAGCGTGTGTTCAAACACATCCAATGTGTTACAGTAATTTTCACTTTTTAAATATAAAGTCTGATACTAAAATTAAAACTGCATTCTGCTTGTTCTGTTTTCTATAATAAAGTATTTGTAAAACATATTTAATTTGATGATCCTCAACTTTTTTTGTCCAGTATATATGACTGTCATATTTCACATGTGTACATTCCTTGTGACAAGACCTTTCTTTAGGTACCACAAAATTTGACTTTTTGACCTTGACCTTGGAGTTTGACACACTTTTACGCAAAAATTACAAACTTTTACTTTGACCATAACTTTTGAACGGTAGATACTAGGACTAATTTCATACTTCACGTAATTTATACATTCTTTGTGACAAGAGCTTAAATTGGACAACAACAACTTTGACCCTTTGACTTTAGAGTTTGGCCTACTTTATAAAAATAAACCTTGACAATATGACGACCACAGAATTTGCGAAATATAAATTATAAACGAGGCTATTGAAATATTTTCTGGTTGTAGATATTGTTCTTCGTAGAGCATGCGCTTGCGTTTTTAATCAATTGGAAGACATAGACTCCGTTGTTATGCAGATCATAATGATAATTTACTACAAATATGGGAAGCTGACAATAACAAAGTTGACGTCATGTTTTATCAACATTTTAAGTTTTGATGTTAATTTACAATGAACGTCTTTTTTTTAAAATCAGGGTTACCGTATCTTTTATTTAAAAGGTATATATCGAATCAACGTAGGAGTGGAAATTGTCAATTGATACAATGCAGTTATATAATATCTAAACGTTGAATTGAACGCCCCAGCAAGTGACTTCTTCTTTCCATGTACACGATTTGTCTGTTTCATATAAAAAAATATATAGGTTTTGTAACTGGGCACAATGCACAATTAGTAACCATAGGAATACCGAAAGATTGAACATGGAAGACTTGATCTCCGGAACTTACGGCCGTCACATTGACTTTTGAAATTTGACCTTGAAATTTCAACAGATTTTAAAAGGCCTTTAACACAAGTTGATTTGTTTAAAGTAAGAGTTTTTAATCATTTTTCTTAGTTACCACATATGTCACATGATACCGATTTCATCACCTAGAAAAGTCAAGCATACCTGAATAAGGTATCCACAAACTCATTTTATATGCATAATAAACATACTTTTATTAATAGGTCCCGCACCTTGGAGTACCTCGCCAATCCATCGCCAACTATTATGTTTGAGCGAATAATGACACGAACGAGTTAATCAATGATTCTGAAAATCAAGATGGCCGATGATCTGAGAGGCTGTTACACATTACACGAAATGTTCACAATTGTGGGCAGTAGAATGACTCAAAAGGACATTAACATTTTGAAATATCTCTACAACGGTATTATGCCTCAGAGAATTATAGGTCGGGTGAAGGACGGGGTGGAATTTTTGCTTGGACTGGAAAAAATGAACAGAGTAGATGAAACGAACTTCAAATACGTTGTTGATTTGCTGAGGATGATTTCAAGACATGATTTACTGCAGTATGTCACTTTAAGGAAACGTAAACCAGGTATATGTATCCTCTGTTTCAAAGGGATATTTAATTGTTTACTTTAGCACTGTAATTAACGAATTTGAAAAGATATAGTATTAATATGTTTCAATGCTAAAGTCTTTTTTGTTCAGTTTTTTAGCAGACATACAATTTAATTTTAATAAAGCATTAAATCAACAGCATGAATATTGATGAACAGAGAATTGACTAGAACTTACAATTTTACAAATTGCACAAAATTTTATATAATGAATAAATGAAGAATTGAGAATTACTGTGATATCTAGTTAGAGTAATCTAACTGTGTCTTGGGACAAGCCCTCACCACGTATGTCCCATACCACGTATGTCCCATACGCTTGCAATTTAGCAAATCTGAGTGGACCTGCTTTGAAATGATTTTGAAGAATGCAGAAAGGGTTGCACTGAAAATAACTACCAAATTAACATGAATTCAGGGATTTATCTAGCTATTTTGTTTTACTACCGTTTTATATGTAAAGGGGAAAAATGAGAGCCGCAGGCTCGATCTGAGCGCCAGAGGCGCGAGTATTCTAAAGGGGTCTGGGTGCATGCCCCCCCGGAAAATTTTTAAATAAATGGAGCAAAATCCTGCATTCCTTCTTATAGCTTCTGAGGGCCATTTGTAGACCTTTACAAAGGCCACAAAAACTTCACTTTTTAGACAAAATATTAAATAACAAAAAAAAAAAAAAATTAAACCAGGTCAATACTTTATTTAATTTTTTCTCTCAATATCTATCACAAATCAATTCTGTTTTTCATGTTTCACTACTAACATTGTTTTTGTTGTTACTCCATTCTTCCGATTCATAGTGATATAAGCTCCGTCTTACTAATCTACACTTTTCTTTTTAACTCTGCAATCCAGACGTATATTTTGACATCATGGACATGGCACATGTTTACCGATCAATATCAAATAGAAGCTTGAATATTCTACTCTCTCTTTTAAAAGCGTTTGAATGACTAGGATGGTAAATTAGGATATGCTGTTAAACTTCAATCGGACAAAAACAGAAAATTTCAGTACGATGTTTTAAATATTCTCTGTTTAATCAGAGAATTTTCTATCTGAAAAGGGGAATTTTTTTACTTTTTTCAAGAGGGGAAAGGTACCGTTTACCGGTAGTAAAAACAGCCTTGATAAATCCCTGTGAATTGACCGTTGAACAAAACAAACCTTTTTGAGATTGCATATATGCCTTTTCCCTTGAAAAATAATCAATATATGATAAATAATGATGAAAATTCAACTAGTTTTCTCAACTTCTTTTCTCACTTCAAATGTTCACTCAATGTTTACATTCAGATCTCTCTCCATTGTCCGTTGTAAATGCTAAATTATGAGTGGAGATAATTAGATTTCCAATGGTTTCTCCTTTTTCCAGTGTGTCCAGATCCTGTCAATGAATATCTAGAAGAAGCATCCAGATTATCAAACATACCAACCAACGTACCAAGGGAAAGAAAGCGAAAAGGGGCGGAACCGTCGGACCAGAAAGACTTCAAAGTCAGAAGGCGGTCACTACACAGGAAAGCTAAGTCTAGGTCTGGGTTTGCTAGTGAGCCCACCCCCAGCCCAGGGACTGCTTCCTCTACCTTTGGTCCTGGACCTCTTGTTCTAGATGACAGTGATGCAGACCTGACAACAACTACAACAAAAGTTACTTGTGGTAAACTAAAAACATACATGTATCATTCCTTTCAATGAATTATAAAAGTGAATATTCTATTAAGTTATTTTCAAGCAAGGATAGTTCAATGACACAGTGATCATATATTTGATAAAAAATTAATTCAACTGACTTCAGCCATTGAACTTTTTGCGAAATATTTTTTGTTTTTATCAAATATCATGTATGGCAACTTAATAAGTGTACTAAAACACACTTTAAAATTATACACCACTTGCATTTATACATTTTTGGGTGTTCACAGTAACTG